ATTCATTTATTGTTAGTATTATTAATCGATATTATTAATTATTTGTACAATAATCACTGTGATTATGCGATTTCAGAGTGATGATGAAGAAGATGAAGAGAAGAAAGCTCTGAAACAACACACACAACAAAATGAACAGCTTGTCGTAACTGATGACAAAGATGACATAGTGGTAAGTAAAATCTCCAAAGTACATCTGCTTTTTTGAAGTAAAACAAAAATTAATGTGAAATGATCCATCCAGCAAACCTATTGTGCCTCTTATTACTGTAATTACATGTTTTAAGAATATTTTAAAAAGTAGGCAAAAAAAGTGAAAACTGTTATTTTGAAAACCATGATTACTGTGATAGTGATATCAGTCACACAGAGCTGGTATTAAAAAACTATCATCATTGTATTTATGTTCCTTGTAATATGAAAAAAATTAAATTAAATTAAATCCCATTTAATCTAAAGGATGTCATATGACATAAACTTTTGGAAACTTCAGTTATTAGTAACTGATATAACGGATATTTTCCATATCCAGTAATGATTCAAATATTTCATTCAGAATTAAGAATTCTAAATGATTTAATAGATGTAATATATAATAAAGTTGTTTGGTGGTCATTCATTCCAAATCTTAATCAAAGACACTTGTATAGCCCAGATGCATTTTATAAGGAAGACAACTTGATATCAACAGGTTTATTTCTTTGGAAACTCTTATCGTCGCAAATATCATTTACAAAATGGTCTATATTTTTGACACCTGTTTTAGCAGACACTACCATATTCCAGATGCATCTATATAATCATATTATAATCACACTGACAGCTTTTTGCAATACAGACAACCTTAGGTGCTAGTGCATTCTTTGTAAACATGACATCCATATCTCAAGTGCCTCTATATGGAAAACACATGCACTTTCCAACAATTCTATGGTATCCTATATATAGATGTATCATTTCATTTACTATTGATTATTATTAGATATTAATCCAAATTGAAACTCTTCTGTCAAGGATGTTTTTATTGTTTTTATTTCTGTAAGATTAGAGGGGTAATATCAACAAAGTAGAGATTACACAAAATAAACACTTTTTAATTGCTTGGTTATGGTGCTAGTGCATAATATCAGAGAATAGTATGTTTAAAACAGCAAAGATATAATATTTGTGATATTATAATAGTTAAAAATGTATACCAAACACTTTTATTTTTTCTCCAACATTTGCACTCTACAGATTTTAAATATGAATTTGTACAATGTTTTTTCTTTTTCACGTCTAAGTGCAGTCTCTTTCTTAGATCTCTACCTTGAGGGCTTGAAAGTCCTTGTAAATAGGAAATATTGATCTTTGTAGTTGACCTCAATTCTCAGTATAAATCTTGATTTTATCTRGAACCTTCATGTCTATCAAMCTCTTTCATCACATKAGTATTCCTAGTTATAGTGCAGKAATCAGTCTGGTTATTWACAGTCACAKRYATCATTCCTTGGAGATRCTAATAAGAACATTGTTTGAAATGATGTTTTAAATTTTTCATAAAAATTACTTGTGTCAAGAAGAAGATTTCGATAAGAAAATATACACACAAATGCACTTCAGATGAAATTCAGTGGAGAAAGCTCAAAACAATTCATAAATTTATTATGAACATGTTATCTTTAGTTTTCATTRTTATTKGGGTTCTTGTGATGTCACAAKTGAATGCTGAAAACTGAATCATAACATAGAACAGATAGTTAGATAGTACACATGACCTGGGGCACATTCAAGTCACTGCTAGTAGTACTAAACCTGGAACTCATCCCTTGTCTTTCTCTGTGTACCTCCTGATATCATCACTCCTACAAACCACAGCAATTGCCAAGGTTTTATTATTTTATTTCTTGCTGTTCAACAATGGTACGTTACAGGTTTGCTAGCAATTAAAGAACAGATTTTAGGCCCATTGAACAGTGTAGTGACCAAAAAAGAACTATTTGATTTCTACAACTTGACTTGTTCAATTTTTGAATATTGATGTCAGTTTAGTTAGGTCTTAGGGTCTTACTAATAATTAATGTAAAAACCACTAAGTGGAATAATTTTGAGGTTTAAATCTTCTGGAATTTCTATTTTTGGCTGAAATTTTATCAATTGCAATGCTTTCTTTGGATGATAGTGTCTGGTACTCAGTGTCTGTTGACAGCCATGCTCTAAATGTTGTTTGAGTTATGGGATCAAAAAATAACATATAGTATCAAAAATTAATGTCTTATTTTTTTTAAAAAAATAGTAGTTTCAAGTTTTTTTTTTATTATTATTATTATTAATGAAATAATTTCTTATATACTATCAAATTTTAGATCTATTTACATTTCAAGAGTGCTTAGCTTCAAGTTTTTAGGATTTAAGGTTTTGTGATGCAAACAAATTTTTTGTTAATTTCAATTGCAGATCTTTTATTTCATTTTTCCTTTTTTTCTTATTTAAATAGTCATTATTCTCTGCTCAAAGAAGTCTAAAACCACATTCCTTCTGCAACAATTCATTTTCTTTTGTCCTTTAAAATATATTTAAGATTGAGTTGGCCTTTTATGAAATTTGAATGCACTTGTTAAAGTTTCCTGATTTTATTTTTTTAACCTTGATATTAATTCATTTTCTCTCTCTTGGTTTCAGGCGAATGCCAAAGGGTATGTACTGCAATGTTTGTATTCTAGTTTATCATTGTCATTGTACTTAATGTGCACAAATGAATGTTTTTGTCACCATTTCAATGAAAAACTTGATTTTTTTTCTTCAGGGTGCCAAATATAAGGATAGATGATAAAGTGGTAAGTACCAGCAATTGTATTTTAATACTTTTCCTGGAAATAATCAATATTCATGTTGTAATCTTTAGATAAATGACAGCGAAACTATAGAAAAACAGAAGTTGACAGAAAAGGTAGAAGAATATGAAATCCAGATTGACGACTTCAAGTCTAAACTTGAGAAAGCTAACAAGGTATGTTAAACTTGAAATAAATTGGGAAAATACTAGTCTTATGTATCTCTTGCTTGTATTTAATGGAATAACCTCCTTGTATGTACTATAACTTTCTATTATTGCCATGTCATATTTCTCATAGTGACATTCAGTCCTCGTATTCATATCATTAATGGAATAACATAACATATGCTATGACATGAAATGCTTCTGAGGAATTACTTTTTGAGACAATATTTTTGCTTTTTGTTTTTATCATAAATCTTTTATTATTGGGATGCAAGTACAACTAGTTTGCTACCAGGACACTGTTAACTGCCTGTGTATATATATTTTGCTTTAGTTGTACCAAACTATTGAGATTTTAGTGATTTCAGACTGTCAACTCCACCACACGTAATACTTTACTGGGCGACAAAATGCTTGTACTGCTTGCTGGAAATAATCTCTTTTTATTCTCCAGGAATTGGAACAGCTGAGACTTGACAACCAGAGACTGAAAGATGAAAATAGTGCATTACTACGTGTAGTGAATCAATTATCTACCAAGAAAAAATAAGTCAATGTAATTACAACCTTCATTGCACTAGGTTACAAGCATGATGCTGCTGTCTTTTAGATACTTCCCTATAGAGGTGTCTGCATTGACTCCCATCATAACTATATTAATGTGCCAGCCAACAATCTACTTTTACAGAAATTGTTCTTAATGGTCATAAGAAACAAAAGCATTTTTGAAAAAAAACGTCAAGCACTACTGTAACTCCAGGAAGAAAATTTGGGTGATTTTGACACCATATTTTAATTCAAAAAAGATTTAGCAGTTTAGTGCTGATTACTATATGTTTGAAATTTTGCTATTTTCAATCTTACATTTCCATTGTCAGTGCTATAAAAACTAAAAAAGGAATTTTTGAAATATATTTGTGGAGTTCTGTTCAATACGATAATAATTGTAGATTATAGGCAAGAGGTTTAATTCATTCTCCTCTTTCATGGGAGTTAGTTGTGATTCATATCTTGAAGACAGCAGCAACTTGAAGCCCTTAATATAAAAAGAACAATTGTTTGCCACATTTTCAAAGTTTTTAGAATGATATATTTTTATATTAACTTAGATAGAATGAAGTCTTTGCTGATAATTTTGTATACATAGCTTAGAAATTAACTAATCATTCTTCAGCCTGGGTTTTTTTGTAATTTTGTTAAGAAAGTGTTTTGAATGATCTGCAATTTGCAATTTAAAACAAATTTAAGTAAAAAATAGACAACTAAGTTGTTTTAAAGGTGATTTCAGTATAATATTGATTTCTGTTTTGCCCAGAACATCATACAATAATACAATTGTAGATCTGTTTCCTAGGTTGGACTTTWCTAGCAATGACTTCAAATAAAGATCAGTTTTCAAATTGGAGAGGTTCAATCTCCATTGCGGTGGTAACTGTTAGGGCAATTTACGCTTTTCATAAGGGAGGAGAGAGTAAGGATAATATTTACCTTTTAACAAAGACTCTGGGGATGGGGGTTAGTATATTAGTGCAATGTACCTTTGTGACCTGTAACTATAATGATTATTGATATTATTAATAATTATTATATAATTATTACATTTTTGTGGCCAGTATTTTAGGGTCTGATAGGCCTTTCATTGTCAAAGTTATAGGATAGATATTAGACTGTTTCAAAATTAGTCATTGGTACATGAAAGCGAGGTCAATGGGGCAATTCTATATTTCGTCTTATTACATATCAGTCTCACCATTAAAAGCTGTCACATATTTGTCAGCATTAACAAGTATTGTATATGTCCACAAAGACTCCTTTTCATGTCTACTGATGTAATTTTGAAAGGAGGTTATATGAAGAAATGTACTTCAATGTAAGTGGGTAGGGGTTACTGAAACTCCCAAATCACTTTTGCTAAATATATATATATAGTTTTGCCTTTCTATTTTATACTGAAATGCATTGTGATGTACTGTAGGTCATGTAATTCATTTTTTCTATTAGTTTGTAAATAAGACCACTATTGCTGTATCTTGGATTTTATTATTGTAAAAGTTTCAACCAGCGATTCCGATGTACTAGGACTAACTCTAGTTTACTTTTACCACGTTATCCGCCTCAATCGAAACCGAACTTTCTCTATAAGTTCTACATGTGCATGTCGCCCATAACTTGTCGGACGTTTGGATCCAGATCATGTTTCCTTTAAAACATTGTAAGTGCGGTCAAAGTCCGTCGTTTAGAGAGAAATATGGAACCTTTTTTTAATGCAAAAATGGAAATTTCATCATCATTTGAAAGAAGAAGAGTTATATCTTTCATGCATTTTTACAAATTTATTCCAATTTCTTCCATCGTGTTCGTCAGTTTCTGTCCCTTTAAGTCGAGCATTCAATTGATTCGTCGCACAAAAACCCAAGTCTGGTCGTTGCCGTCAAACATAACCTTTGAACCTTCTATAACATATCCTGCGTCAATAATGTGTTGAACAAGTGCATCCACTTGTGTTGGTTTCAAAGGAATCTCCATTTGTGCTCCTTGAACGACCTTCTCCCCTGTACTGAAGTGAAAATCTTCACCAGTTTTTAGTTGCGCACCAGGAATTGGCTTGGGGATAATTTCAACAAGATTCTTGACCTCACCTGCAAGTACCACACCCTTTTTCTTACTGAAATAGCTAAGCCTTATGTACGAGTTCTGTTTGGTATATTTTGATTTCTCTTTCTTTAACTCTTCCACTAAGTCGTATATTTCAAAGTACTCTGCTTCAGCTTCAAGTTCATCAAAACTTTTGAAATCTAACGGCAATTTTAGTTTCTTTGTCCTTAAGAAGCTCAATATGTAACGAAATGTCTCCCCATCTCGGTCGATGAATGTATTTCCACGAACATCCTTAGAAAGCGGGACGATCCCATTACACATCTTAGCGAGCCTTGAGTCAGGGTACTGTGTCAATGTATAAGAAGTAGAGTGGTAATTATAGCCTCCAACGTTTATACTCACTACAGATGGAAACAGGAAGATGGCTTGTTCTAGAATCCCATCTTGTTCGATAACTTGACTGGTTCGATACACTCGAACTTTGCCTTTTCCTGGAGAGCCTAATTCAATCTCATCTTTGTAGTGCCTCTTTGATTTTTCTTCTACTGTACCTGATAGTGATTTGATCAGATCGCTAACAGGGGATAGATCTAGATGTAGTTTCTCATCTTTAGATTCATGATCAGGTGTTCTAGAAGCCTCTTTATCCTCCATTATTAGTGGACAGTGATTCACCTGTTAGGGTCTGCTGTCTTATGCACTGCGCGCAGTCCAATACAAGGCTGTATAGACATTACATGACATTAAGTGAACCAGTTAGAGTATGACACATTGCGCGCATTTGTCAACTTTATTTAAATGTCACATAAACCAGCGTTTATATATAGTACACCGGGCTCTGAAGTTATCAGACATTGTATTCAAGGTATATATTGCATGACATCCGAACGATCTATTAGACCTCTCAAAATTATGATTGTGTGACATTTTCCTGCTGTGCCTGCTGTGGTGTCAGCTCAGATGCACTCTGCCGTGTTGTGCTGACTGTGTGCAACAGATTGCCTTTCGCATGTGTGGGCCCTTTGCGTATGCCACGTGGACAGATAATGGAATCGATGTTTAGTTCATTTAAACAATATACTTTATTTTGTTCCACTTATCAAGCTAATGGAAGTCGCCACGCATAAAATGAGTCTAAAAATAGATGCATACATGAACCTCTAACTTTTCTGTAATTTTCTATCATTTATCGGAACTCCAAAATTTCATTTCCTTTTGTCTAAATGATTATTTCTGCAGCTGTCTGTTACTGACGCTGGTTATGGTGCACCACGTCTGCGCTCACTAACCGCCGCGCTACCACTAACTAGTAGGCTATTTTCTTTGCTCTTAAAAGCTGATCGGCGTTTCTTGCGATGGTAGGCCAAGTTTTGTGAGGGAAGAAAAGTCCCTGGATACGAGAATCAGACCTAATTGACTTGGTTACACCTTTTTCCGCTGATGATTCTTATCATCATCATCATCATCATCATCATCATAAAACTAGTTGTGTGTGAGTCTCATCCTTTACCTTGTGCGAGTGTACACATTATTATACCTTAGGGGGTCATAGTTGGGATTTTTTGCTAAAGTCTCGCGGGCTTTGTWTCATCA